CCCCCCCTCCCCCCCCACACCCCCCCCCCCCCCCCCCCCCCCCCCCCCCCCGGTATCGTGGAGTGCGTTGGCTGACGATCTGGTGTGGGTGGGACAGATAAGCAGGAGTGATCTTTATGCGTTGTTGATTGGGCAGATTGGGAGTATGGGGGTGATGCCTGATCTTTGAGATGGGCTGAGCTCTTCCTGTCGACTATCTGTTCTTCAACTGCATGCTGCATCAACATCATCTGGACCATCTGGGTCTGGATTGACAACACCTGGACCGGCATCACCTGGAGACCGTCAGCCATCCACACATCAGCCGTTGCCTATGCCATTGCCGTTGCCACATTTCATCACCGAATGCAGACTCATGCACCGTTCACTGCTGACCACGCATCCTCCAACAGAGACGCATGCTCGCCACTCTCGCCCGACGGATGCAAGCTGCTCGTGCTGCACAGGCTGCTGCTGGGCTGGGAAACGAAGAAGGAGGGCACGAAGAGGAGGAAGGAGAAGGGGAAGGGGGAGGGGAAGAGCTGAGGAGGATCGTGCTGGGGGATGATTGTCGGATTCAGTAGCGTATCTGGACATTCAGATCCTCAGAGAAGCTTGCAGCTCCTTCCCCAGTGCATATCATATCCTACACATCTTCCCCATTCTCGTCTTTTGAAGCTGCCAGTGAACCGAAACTCCTCGCTCGAAACCACCCATTTTCATCTTACTCCCCGTTCAAGTAGCAAACTTTTATTTCGCCTTAGCTGCCTTGGCCTTGGCAGCTTTCTTCCGATTGCTCCGTATCATGACCACGCTCAGAAAGCTGCCGACCACCGCTCCTCCGAGTAACAACAGGATAACAGGAATTCGGATGGCCCAGACGCGAGGGGGGAAGAGGGTTTGGAGGGGGTGGTTGTCGTCGACGAAGGGCTGGATCATCTTATTAGCAAGGGGCTGGGAGGGGATTTGATGGGGGTATTGGGGGATAGAATGGGGAGAAAGGTACCATAAGCAGAGTCCAGACGGTGTAGTAGAGGAAGACGACGGAGGCGAGGATGAGCATTGCTAGGCCGACTAGTCTGTCCAACTGCATGACATTAGTACCCTGGTGATCAGAGAGTAGATGTGTATGCTTACCGCGTTGTTTGCTGCCATTGTGGTGGTGTTGAGGCTTCAATGTGCTGTTCTTCGTTGTTGTATTCTGCTGGACTTGTGGAGGCCGAACAGCTGTCGTCCAAAGAGTGAAAGGTACAGTAAGCAGGAAAGTGGTGGGAATGGTGGGCTTGGCATCTGATCGGAGCCGACGTCAACGTTGCCAGAACTTTGGGTGGACGAGATCTATACCATACCACTTCACAGAAAGCGACTGAAGATACTACTTCTCCTTCAATTCACCAAGAGATACCCCTCGAGACTGCGCGACCATGTGGATCGTCGACTGGTGTAAGCAGCGCCCACAATCACCCCCGTACCGCAACGACTGACCCAACCTTATCTACACAGTCTGGGACATGCTGGCCTCGCTCGGCCTAGCAAACAAACACGCCAAACTCCTCTTCCTCGGTCTGGATAACGCTGGCAAAACAACCGTACTCATAGCCCTCCAATACGCCTCGCACTCTCACTGACAGACGTCCACAGCTCCTCCACATGCTCAAAAACGACCGCGTCGCCATCCTCCAACCCACCCTCCACCCGACCTCGGAAGAACTCTCCATCGGCAACGTCAAATTCACCACCTTCGACCTCGGCGGCCACCAGCAAGCCCGCCGCCTCTGGAAAGACTACTTCCCCGAAGTCAGCGGCGTCGTCTTCCTCGTCGACGCCAAAGACCCGGAGCGCTTCCACGAGAGCAAGGCGGAGCTGGATGCGCTGCTGAGCATGGAGGATCTAAACAAGACGCCGTTCTTGGTGCTGGGGAATAAGATTGATCATCCGAATGCGGTGAGTGAGGATCAGTTGAGGCATGAGTTGGGGTTGTATCAGACGAGTGAGTGCTACATCCATATTTGTTCTACGAGGTGGTGAGGGTGGGTGTGCTGACAGAGTGGGAACAGCGGGTAAGGGAAAGGTGCCGTTGGAGGGCATTAGGCCGATTGAGATTTTCATGTGCTCGGTGGTGATGAGGCAGGGGTATGGGGAGGGCATTCGCTGGTTGTCGCAGTATGTGTAGGGTGGGAGAGGGTGTGCTCGATCTGAAATACACGACTATCCAAGAACGATTCATGAGAAGAACAGAAGATGGGGCAGATGTGCATTTGCGAGGCGCGCGGCGTCATGGAGATGGCTGCTTGACTCTTGCAGATAGGTGCAACCTTTTCTACCACTCTCTTGGCCTCTTTGTCACTCTTGGGAAGTCAGAGAGCATGATGTTGAACATTGACAAGCTTCCGGGACATCTCTCTAGCTGTTCAGAACCCACGCAGCTTGCGTTCTATCATTGTGATCCCAAGCACACTCAAACGACCAGACCACAACAGCGACAAACCTCAGCAAAAACGCATCTGACCACCAGCGAACCACCACCTGGCCATGTGCACCGCTTGCGATGGCCTCCTTCTAGCGACCTCTCTTCACGTTTCCTCACGTCTTCATTGCCTTCAAGCCTCACCACCAGGCCCCAACTCCTTGGCCGCCCACTTGACCGCAGTCGTCACAATCTTCTCGACGAGTTCCATCTCAACCACAGACGTCCCGCGCTCGGAATCCTCCCAGCTCTTGTTGCTCAACTTCTGGACGACTTGGGACTTGAGCTCTCCGAGCGCGAAGTCAATGCAACTGGTACAGGCCATAGCGATGCGTACTCGCAGAACTGGCTACAGCAGGGTCCGTGAGCCTTCGGAGATGAGGCCTGGGTTGGACCGTTGCCAATGGTGTCGGTGGTGTCGACCTCTTTCTTGTCCTTGCTGTTCTCTTCTTCGGCGGTCTCGATCTCCTTCTTGTTCTTGCTCTCCTTTCCTCCACTGCTCTCGTCCTTCTTTCCGTCCTCGCCCTCCTTTCCTTCACTGCTCTTGGTGTCCTTCTCCTCCTTCTCGCCCTCTTTTGCCAGCGTCGTCAACTTCTTGCCGATCGAGCTGAGTTCCCGGATGTTGACGATGTTGAGCACGAAGCACGCGGAAGCGAGACAGCCCGAGGCTGAAGGTGAGTACCAAGGCCCCTTCAGTGAGCTTCGTGAGACCGGCTAGCTGTTCGGCGAGGTCAGACAATGCCCGGTTGAGGTCGGCCATGCTTGCGTTTGCACGAGGTGAGGGTGTTGGTGTTGGTAGTAATGTTTGTGATGTCGAAGGCTGATGAGATATGAGGCTTCGTGTGGAAGTGAGCTGGGTGTTCTTGCTCTGGCAGTTGAGGAGAATGGGTGTAGGTGAGCAGTCAATTATATGTTGGTTGGCGAAGAGTCACTGACTGCATGTCTCAGGACAGGTTGCCGGCCTTCCCAATGAAACGCCTCGCTAATGCTCAACCCTGGTATATGTACAAAGCAAATCACCGCCCAGCAAGGTACTGTCGTCCCCGGCACATGAACAAAACAGCCCTCCACCCAACCCTGTCATCCACCGCCCTCATCACTTCAACTGAAACGAGAACTCCGAGACATCACCACTAGCGATCCCGAACTTCGAACCATAAGGACTCCCCGGCGGCGGCGCGCTCCTGTCCCTCGACGGTGCACCTCGTTCTCTGTCCACCGCGCTGTGCTCCCGACGTGTGCCGTGCTGCCGTTCGTTGTCGGTGGGCTTCAATCCATCATTCCGCGCATCATGCGGACTGTACAGGTTCTGCTTTTCCCGCTTCGGCTTCGCCTCCCACTCCTTACCCCCAATATTATTCGCCACGGGCGGCGCCGCCCTGAAACGTTTCCCTGAGTTCCCGCCAGCACTTGCACCCTCATCATCCACCAGCACGATCATCCAGACGCCGACGGAGCCGTTGTGGCCGAAAAGCGGCGTGCAGTGGATCCACCTCGGCCGTCCTTCACCATCACCATCCTGGTCAGCACGGGCGAGCCACCGGATTTTGGCCGTGACGCCGCGGCCTTCACCGAGCGCAGAGCGGAGGTCGGAGCGCACGCGGGAGCTGCCGCCGATGCGGTCGAGGAAGGGGGATTGCAGGATACCCGGGACGCGGAGGGAGGGGGAGGTGAAGAGGATGCGGAGGGAGGGTGCGGGGCGGATGAGGAGGTACTGATGTCTCGTCAGTCGGGTAGCTTCGTGTCTCTGGGGAGATGTCACTTACGTTCTGGTACACGCCCTCCAGCTTGCCATTGATCTTCTCACGCGCGGTCGGAGGAATGCTGGTCGGCACCTTCCCACCATGCTGCTCGAGGACCTCATGCGTAGAATCTTTGATCACCACCCTTCGCTTGCCCCCGCTGATACTCTCCCGGTCGCTGTCATCAGCGTACTCCTTGTGCATTCGTCCACCGTATCGTCGTACGGTGTCAAGCTCGGCAGTGTTGAACATCTCCGTCAATTCCTGGAACTCGTCTTTCCTGCTTGACTCTTCCGAGTCAGGATCTTGCTCCTTCTCCAACATCTGCTGGATGCCTTCTAAATTGCTGCAGTCTTTGACCAGGCCTGAGACATCGACCTGAGCACCAATGTTGTAGCGCACATTCCCACGGCTGTCCATCAGCGGCGCGATCATGAGCAGATTCATGAACGGGCTTCCATCTCTTCGGTAGTTGACGAAGACCTCGGTATGCTCCCTTCCTTCCTTAGTCGCCATCGCTAGACGTCTCACCGAATTCGGGTTCGTCTGCGGTCCTTGCAAGAAGCGACAGTTGCGACCAATAACATAGTTCATCCCGTACTGTGTCGTCCTCACAAACTCTTCAGACGCAAAGACAATCGGGTTGTCGGTCCTGCTGGGATCCGTCAAGCAGAACACCTCCGCTAAGCCCTCACTCGCCTCTCGCAGATGCGGCGCAAGTGTGCCAGTGATCCTGCGCTGTATGCTCACAGAAACGACCTGAATCCATATGTGTGCGACGAAAGCCGGCAGGTCCTCGTTTACCATGATTCCAAAGGCAGCGTCAGCTTTCTTCTCCAGAGCCGAGTTCCTGGTCGGTGCTGCATTCTCCTGGGTGAAGTCCTGGCCTCGAATCGGCTCCAGAGCCTCCGCGATGGCATTGGCGTATTCGACTGCTCGCAATGCTTTCAGCGCATCGAGGTAGTAGATCAAGATCGCTATGCTCTTTGGTCGGTGTGCATTGAGAAATCCAGTGAACTTCAGCAGCAGCTTCGGATCATTGAAGATGGTGCGCAGATGCTCGTTGCTGAAGATTTGCTCAGCTCGTTTCTCAAGCGAGTAAATGTTCGCTGGAGACCCAGTGTTCTCGACCGGCTCGACCAAGTCCCACGATCTTGGATCATCTTCGAGCACCGGCTCTAAATCTTGAGCATCGCTGTTGTCCGGGCCCTTCGTCTGTAGCGCAGGCAAGGTTGTGACTGATGTTGCTGCCGTCTCTTGTGACATGACTGACTCTGCGCTGCTGCGATCGCCGTTGATGTAGCCATGGCCGGCTGTGGTGTCGGGACTGCCCGACCTCGAGTATTGCTGTTGGTCGTATTCAGAGGGATTGCGGCTCAACTGTCGGGTCTGTCGTGCGTTGGAAGAAAGGTTCTGTTTGTTCGCCGTTGGCTGCTGCTGCTTGTGCTGAGAGCGTGACCTGTCGTTGTCGCGGAGAGTGTCCTGGGATACCGAGTGGTCATACTTCATGCGCGAAGCTGCACTTTTCGATGTGCTGCGAGCATGGGTATATCGAGAGTTGCCCGGAGAGTCATACCGATCGCCAAAGTCTGAAACCACCGGTGAATCGGAGATGGCATTGTACCGTGGCTTCTCGCTGTCTGGTGTCAATCCCAGCACCTCAGAAGGCAGGGAGTCGGCGCGGTCGGGGTGTGGGCGTTGATAGGCATGGTCTTCAACACTTGGTCGATTGGAACGATCGCTGTTCTGCGAGTCTGTGTTGGAGCCTAGGAAGGTATCGACGGTTCCGTTTCGGCTGTGGTCATGGATGATGACTTGTTCGGAGTCTGGGCTTTTCTCCATTGCCCGGAGTGATCTCCTCCCATCCGATGCTTGGTGTGGATACTGATCCTCAGAGTTAGCCTTCTTCTCCTTGGAGGAAGCGAATCGCTTTTTGGTCAACCGCATCATGGCTGTAGGGGGATGGAATGGTATGAGAAGGAGTGTAGAAGCAGTCGCATCCCAACGTGAAGCAATGTGAGATGCAGCTTTAGGTTATGAAAGGGGAACTCAAAGCATCATGAAAGGTCGGGAGACATGACGACACACCGAGACATACCAAAGCTCCGAAGAGCTTACTCGGTAGCGGAATATTGAAAAACATCATCCATCGATCGAGAGACGGGAACGTACCAATCGGTATACCGGCGCCATCCTGTCGCCGTCTGAGACAGGCCGTCTCTTGACAGATGCGCGCGGCAGCAGGCCCCCTCCGACTTCGAGCAAAGAATCCCTTTTGGAGCGCAGGCTGCTGTGTCTCGACATCGAACTCGACGAGGTTCTCCCTGTCGCCGCGGCCAAGATCAAGGGCTGAATAGTCGTCTGCGAGGTCACCGATGCGCGCGATCGGTGGGACATCCGAAGTTCTCACACGGGTGCATTAGGACGGAAGGGGCGGTTGGGTGAGAGGGAATCTACAAGAAGCACGCGTCGACATGGAAAGAAAGATTTCCCTCCTCCCTGTGACCCTGTCGCTCCTCTGCTGTCCACGAGTCGTGCTGCTCGATCTACAGCAGGCACCAGGAGTTCATCTTACAAGCCCGACGAATAGCGACAACTGCCGCGAAATTATTTAGACTTCGGCGGAGAGCCGCCACATCAAAAGCATTGGCCTTGGAATGGGGGATCGTCGGTAGTTGTCGTGACTCGTGATAACGGTATGGTCGTGTACATCAGAAGAGTGACGGGGAGCGCTGGCACGATCACTGCGATTTTGTTCCCTCCCCCCGATTTCCAGCGGCGGACTGTACTGCAGGTGTATGCGGCCCGCAAACCGTATAGTCGGACGCCATGAATCTCGCATGGATCTCGCAGCTGCCCGCGATCTCGCGTCTGCAATGCAGATCATATGGCGATCATCGCGGAGCCGCAGGGTTCCCAGCCGCGTTGCTGCCCGTTTTGGGCGGCCAAGCACGTGAGAAGTGCCTATACCGTACAGCGCTTTCGCACGCGATGTCAGATGCGGATTTGAAGCCTGCCGATGTGAAAGAGCGCTCGGCTCTCGATCGTTCTGTCGTCTAGCCGCTCTCACACGATCTTCAGGATGCTCGTGGCTTGAGACACCGTTGCTAACGGCAAGTATCTTTTTGACAGGTGCCATGAGGTCCGTTCAACGACGCCAAGCGGTCGGTAAGAGCATTCCAGCCGACGAAGACCACATCTTGGTTGATCAAGTCTCACTTTGAGTCTCGTTATAGCTTTCGTACTATTGAAAAGCCCATCCTTATCGCTTTCAATGAATCTGCAGATCGGATGTTCCTGAGACATTCTCTGCCGCGCATCGAGTGCTTGCAGATTCGACCGAGATGCTTTGACGCCGGTGATATGGATAGCATCTCATCAGTCGCCTTCATGACGCCTTTCCGGGAGCAGCGGATCGACCTCATTGTCTGACAAGCGAGATGTCTCGCCCGTACCCTCTCCTCGCTCCTCTACCGGGCCATACAGCACAAAATGCTGCAGTATGAAGACAATATCGAAGGCGAGGCTGATGTTGGCCAGGCCGAACTTGATCGGATTGCCGGTCAGACCTGACCAGTCTGCTTGGAGCGCGCTGTCAATAACAAGCTGCACCAGGCTCAGAATTCCACCTGAGAAGTCGAGCAGTTGCTGCTGGATGCTCCAACCGATCGTGCTCTTGCGCTTGAAATTTGCAACGCATTGCGGAACATACTTCATCACTGTCAGTAGTAGCTTGACGTAGGAGAAGACATAGATCTAGTCTGTGATCAGCAACACTCTCATCCAGACATTGCTTGGAGGTTCCTACCACATCAATCCATGTCCATCCCCTGCTGTCAACATCTGCATTTCCGTAGGCGAATACAGCAATGACAGCAGCTACGATAGCAAGCACACCACTCCACACCAAACCCAACGACACCCTATTTACATGTCGTCTCACCCCAACCCCCTCCTTCCACCCCCAAAGCCGCGGCCAGAACTGCGAGTAGACCACAAAACACAACACCAACGCATGCACCCCAAACGCCAGATCATTCAACCGCACCGTCGGCTCCGGGCTCACGGGGTGGCGAGCAGCATACTGAGCCCGGACGACTGGCGAGTAGAGGAAGACGGCCGTGTTGATCGTGTAGCAGGAGAAGCCAACGACGTTTAGGAGGGGGAAGTCGGGGGTGAGGCCTTGGGTTGTGTGGCGGCGGATGTTGAGCAGGATTTGGGGGTAGAAGGAGAGGGACCAGGCGGTGAAGTAGAGCCAGCCGCAGAGTCTGGACGTGTTAGGCAAATCTATTCGAGCAGTGCCTGTCCCGTCTTCACTAACCTTGAGACTGCTCGTAGCAGTATCTCACTTTGTGAGGTGGACATATCGTTGTCGTGTTGGCTCTTGAGGCTCCCTGCCGTTGCCCATGACCCCGAAACCGTCCTACTGCAGCTTAGACCCAGCAACGAGATCACCACGTATGGATCAAGAGGTGCTCTCGTCAGATGCGCGGGGTTTGTGGGAAGTATGGTTCCTGATCGTAATGTTGACACTGTCACATGTGAACGGTGGTTCGAGCGTCTCCAAGAATGACGATCATTTGCACCTGCAGCGGGCTCTTTGTTTCAGATTCATAACCCCACCACATCAACAACAACATCCTGAGATACGACTGCCTGTGTACACATACATCCGATGCAATAACGAAGAAGAGCTCTCGCGAACTGGCGAGCAAGCATGGCGGAGAAGACACAAGAGAAAGACCCAGCACCATCTGATGCGGGCTTCGACTACCACTCGCTCCCAGACTGGGATAACGACTTCTACAACGAGGGCGACATACTCGCCTTTGCTTCTGCTCTCTCAGCGCCAGAGTCAACCTCGCCGTCGGAAGAGGACCTACTGAACCCTAAGCGTGCAAACGTAGAGTTCATCACCGCCTTGAACGATTGGAAACCAGTCCACCGCAGCGTGAAGGACGCACAAGAGCAAGGCCATGGCAAGAAGAAAGGCAAGCGACGGAAAAAGCCCCGGAGAGGCAAGGACGAGACTCGGGAGGGATTGACGTACAGCATCACCAAGTGGCCACTCTTGATCTTGGCGATGGGATGGCTGCTGTTCTTGACTATCCTATACCTGATCACGAGGTTCTATATCTTCGCGTACGAGCGCTATGTCACATGGCGGGGTAAGAGGAATCGGCTGAGGAAGAGTCTGAGACAACAGACGGACTACGAGGGCTGGAAAGCGGCAGCGCAGGAACTCGACCACTATCTTGGTAGTGACAAGTGGAAGGTGGATGACGAGTACGCGTACTATGACGACCGTACGATCCGGCGGGTTATGGAGCAGATGCGGAAGGCCCGGCGGAAAGCTGAAAAAGAAGAGGAGGAACCTGATGGTGAGGGCGGCAAGAGACCGGTAGAGCGGATGGTAGAGCTGGCGAGATCGTCTATCAAGAACAACTTCTCTGGATTCGAGAATCCGAGACTTTACAGTCAGACATACTACGGTACGAAGGACTTGGTGCAGCAGTTCATCGATGAAATGTCGACGAGCTTGCGGTTCTTGTTCGCAACCAACCAGTTGACGACCGAGGAGAAGCGAGAACTGGCACGGCACCTCAGCACCAATTACGGCCGGACAGCGTTATGCTTGTCAGGCGGAGCAGGATTCGCTTGGTATCACTTCGGACTGGCGAAAGCGTTGCTCGAGGCTGGCCAGCTCCCGAACATTATCACTGGAACTTCAGGCGGTGCGTTGGTGGCCGCCTTGCTAGCTACAAGGACCGATGACGAGCTGAAGAAGCTTCTTGTCCCAGCGCTTGCAAACCGCATTACGGCTTGTCACGACTCGATGTCCGTCTGGGTATACCGCTGGTGGCGGACCGGTGCGCGCTTTGATGCAGTGGATTGGGCCAAGCGATCTTCCTGGTGGTGCTACGGCAACTTAACCTTCCTCGAAGCCTACCAACGGACTGGTCGTATTCTAAACGTGACTTGCGTTCCTTCTGACCCACACACTCCTAACATTCTGGTCAACTACCTAACGGCTCCTGATTGTGTCATCTGGTCGGCAGTCCTGGCATCAGCAGCCGTGCCCGGCATCCTGAACCCTGTGGTGCTGATGCGGAAGAACAGAGACGGCAAGCTGGAACCATACAGCTTTGGGCACAAATGGAAGGATGGTTCGCTCAAGACCGACATCCCACTGAAGAGCCTCAACTTGCATTTCAACGTCAACTTCAGCATTGTCAGCCAGGTCAACCCACATATCAACCTGTTCTTCTTCTCCTCGCGCGGAACTGTGGGACGGCCAGTGACTCACAGACGCGGACGGGGATGGCGAGGCGGATTCCTAGGCTCAGCGTTGGAGCAATATCTCAAGCTCGACCTCACCAAATGGCTCAAAGTCCTACGACATCTCGAACTCCTCCCGCGCCCACTCGGCCAAGACTGGAGCGAAATCTGGCTCCAACGCTTCAGCGGCACCACCACCATCTGGCCCAAATCCACCTTTAGCGACTTCTACTACATCCTCTCCGACCCCTCCATGGAGCGTCTCGCCCGCATGATCCACGTCGGCCAGCTCGCCGCGTGGCCCAAACTCAAGTTCATCGAGAACCGCATGGCCATCGAACGAATCATCGAAGACGCACGCGAGATGACTCGACCCGACACGCGACCGCCCAGCCAGACGCGGGGGAAGCGGCTGCGTAATGTGCTCAGTGCGGAGGACCTCCAGAACCTGTTGGAGCAGGCTAGGAACAACAACGGGTCTGTGGAGGTGCCTGCGAACATCGACATGGCTGTCGAAGACGCAGCGCGGCGGTCCAAGGAGCGTGCGGCTCCGCCGCCGGTGCTCCAGCGGCAAGACTCACCTTCAGTTACTAAGCGCTGGAGCGAGTGGTTTGGGTCGATTTCGGGTGGGTCATCGCCGAGGTTGCCGCAGGGTGGGCCTTCGATGGCGGATTTGAAGCCGATGCAGCAGCAACAGCAGGATGCGAGGAGGGGGAGCTTTTTGCAGGAGTGGAAGAGGCAGAGTCAGGTTTTTTGGGATGAGGATGAGGGGGAGGGTGCGAGTGTGGAGGGGGAGTATGAGACTGCTAGCGAGGTGGGTAGCGAGGCGGCTGATGAGGACGGCGGAATGTTGGGGAGTGAAGATGATGAAGACGAGATGACGAGCTCATGAGTAGCCGGGTGGATTCGCAGTCATAGCGTTCAAGCGTGTACGACTTTGGAGATTGTGGGTAGAACAGCACGAGTATCTAGAAGAGCTCGCGATCAACATTGCAACACACCTTGCCTACAGTATATGTACTCTAGAGATGGTCTTCCTGTCCACGATGAACACCGACCAATGGTGACTTCCGATTCTCAGGCGTTTGGGCGCAGCGCTGTGGAGAGCAGCAAGCCGACGACTTCAACTTCTCGTCTTGGGCGACCTCTTTCTCTTTTCGCCGCCGTACAGTACCTATGTCAACACAAATCCCCACTGTCATCCTTCGAACAAGATCTTGAGCGCCTGTTGCCACGTGGGAATTGCGACGCATCGCGTCAACTGCCATATGACTTCTCACAAATCGGCCGGCGCTTAGCAAACCCCATACGCGACCTCAAACACCAGACCACCATGAGGAAGTCAAGCTGCTACATGCATCAGCGACAGCACATCGCAATGCAGATCGCTTGCTCCTTCAGCGGAGACTACCGCACCGAAGCGCTGGGTCCTGTCTCGTCAATGCCTGAGCCGCCGACAACAGTGTAGCCGCCAGCTCGACCGCCGTGGCCCACGCGCCGGCCACCTCTAAGCTACCTGTAATTCTCCGCAGCGGCCTTTCAGACGAACGGTCTTGACGACGCGCCTGTTTCGCTTCGGTCCAACGTGGTCCTTCTCTAATGAGCTTTTGGTGGCCTGCATGTACATCCACTCGAACGCCTCCATGCCTGGTCTCTGCCACATCTCTGAAGAAGCGCCAACCGCATGGCTCGAAGGCCTCTGTCGCTTCTGTGGTCTGTAGCGGCCGCGCCCAAGCTAATTGATGCACAAGACTTCCCAAACCGTTTCATGATGCTGTTGGAGATGGGCAATGGGTACCGAAGCGGCACAGTTCTCAAGGCTGAAGTTGGTATAAGGTATTCGGGCTGCCATCTTGTAGCCTTCTCCTTCTTTTTCAGTCCAAACACTACAGCAACGATCAACGACAACTTTTCCTTGTCTCTTTTCCTTGTCTCTCTTATTTCCTTGGTCAACTCTCTCTAGTCTACTCTTCGGTCTGGAACTGGCGTTTACTCTGTTGCTTGTAATTAGTTAATCTTCTACCTTCGTTGTCTACCCTTCTACTGGCCCGCGGTTCCTTAAGACGCCTGGTTGCGTTCTCACTCGTTGGCATCATCCGGCCCAGGCTACACTACGACGGTCTCCATCGCCATACATGCCCCAGTACCGCCATCTCCCGATCATGCCGAAAGACAGCAACATGAAATCTCGAGTTTCGGGGTATGCACCGATGGCTGCACCATACCCGACCACTGCCACCGGCTCGGCGGCAACACGGAGTGCAGCTATCTGGAGTGCCGCGGACGACGAGATCCTCCTTCAAGCTCGTGCTTCCGGCCTGAACTGGGGTCCTATCTCTACGAAACACTTCCCGGGTAAAACGCCGAATGCTTGCCGCAAGCGCCATGAGCGGCTTGTCGAGAAGAGACACGGCGAAGATTGGGACGTCCAGAAGTTGGAGCTCCTTGCTCAGGAGTATGCTGCGGTCAGGAAGGAGATGTGGGAGATTCTTGGAGCACGGCTGGGCGAGAAATGGGGGCTCGTAGAGGCCAAGGTCAGTCTCACACCACGTCCATACCAACGCCGCCGTGCTGATATAGCAAGTAGTGCATGGAGAAGGGACTCAAGACCCTTCTATCCACCGCGCGCACAGCGCACAAGCGCAACAGCCCGAGCCAAAGCGGCTCCGTCGACGAACGAGGTACAGACCACCACAGCGATTCAGGCATCGGCTTCTCAGACGCTGAGATGGAGGTAGACGACGCTGCCACTATGTCCAGAAAGCACGCCACCTGGCCCGCTGAAGCTGAGACGATTCACCAGCAACCACACCCCGATCACGTCCGCTCGCGCAGCCTTCCGCAAGCTTTGCCATCTCTACGACCGCTGCCGCTGTATGTGCCTCCGCCGCCACCGATCAGCACGCAGCGGAAGGCGTATGACTTTGACGCACCAAAGACGACGAGTCCAGCGACTATGTCCTTTGTGCGGCATGCTTCGACGCAGCGCCAGTCGCCGGAATCACAGAAGGGGAGGGGTGGGATGAGTATTCAGTCTGTTTTGTCGACGGAGCCGCAGTGTGCTTGAGAGGGCTGTATTGGGGACGGATCAGCGCTATGGGATGCCAGGGGCTTGTTTGAAGGGGGTTTGTTGTCTTGTATTTGTACGGATTGATGATGGATGATTTGATGAGCTCGTTCTGGACGGCATGTGGGACGTTGATTCTTGTACTTTGCTATGATGGATGGTAGACACTCGACGATATTATGAACCCACTGCCTACTATCTACCACTCTGCTTTGCTCGTGATCGTCGTGTTAATCCTGTCGTCGCTGTGGTGCTTTGCCTGAGACTGCCCAGGCGTCCTCACCTCATCCCGCAAACATCCGAAATACTTCCGCCATTGCTAGGAGGTATACTCAGGCTCCTTCCAACCTGGAATGTATATTCATTGATTGTATATTCTAGGCTTCTTTCACATCCTCCACGATCCAAGAGACGTCCAGATCTCAGTGGGAAGAACGACCGACCTGTGCATCGCTGGCCGAGAGCACATTCCTTCTGAAACACCTCCCCCGAGCGGGCGTCTATGACCTTCTCGGGTCGCTCCTTAAGGCTGAGTACCTTGAGATGTAACAACACCCTGTCAAAGACACAACCACCCCCACGAAGAGGACGCCTGCAGACGAGAGTCCTTGTCAGCTCGACGCGACAACAGACGCGACCTATACCGTTCCTTCGATCTCCCCACCAGTGGTCGAATATTGTACATCATATACGCAAGCCAGGTGCTTTGACGGCGCCAGCAACCATGGGCATGGACTCGAAGGTCGATGTTGTGCAAGCGAGGGGGCATGCGGGACATGCGCATCACCACCACCATGACAACACGTACTTGACGAGCTCGAACAAGAAAGACCCGGGTGTGCGGATTACGAGGATCGGGCTGTATGTGAACCTTGGAATGGCGATTGGGAAGGGGGTTGGAGGATACGTGTTCAATTCGCAGGCGTAGGTCAGCCTGGGCCATGCTTTGGAGGGGGAGTCATGTTGCTAACAGTCAACAGCTTGACGGCCGATGCTCTTCACGCGCTCACAGATCTTGTGTCTGATATCACGACCCTCGCGACGATCTCTTACTCCCTCCGACGTCCTACGTCTCGGTTTCCCATGGGCTACGGCAAGATTGAATCACTAGGCGCCCTTGGTGTATCGGGTCTCCTTCTGTCAGGTGGACTCATGATCGGGTTGCAGTCAATCATGGCGCTGGCACAACAGTTTTTTCCGGAGCTGGCGCATACACTATCGCATGTCGGAATATTCGAGCATGCGCACAGTCACGGACACAGCCATGGTGCGACAGACCTAGGTCCAAACATCAACGCAGCATGGCTTGCAGCTGGAAGCATCGTGGTCAAAGAGTGGTTGTACAGAGCGACGATGAAAGTTGCAAAGCAGAAGCGGAGCAGTGTCCTCGCTTCCAACGCATATCACCACCGGGTCGACTCGCTGACGGCATTCGTGGCGTTGGTGACGATCTGCGCCAGTCGCTTCCTTTCGAATGCTGCTTGGCTGGATCCAGTGGGAGGTTTGGCGATCTCCGGCATGATCGTGCAAGCTGGATGGACGAATACGAAAACAGCGCTGTTCGAGCTGTCAGACGTCAGCATCGACCAGGAGATCGTGGGCAAGGTCGAGAAAGCCGCAAACCAGGCTTTGCAAGAGCAGAGCTTGAGCGACGTGGTGATCCGTGGTGTTCAGGGCGTTAAAAGCGGGCAGAACGTCATGACTGAGATTGAGGTAGGCGCGCCGAGTAGCTGGACAGTCGGGAAGACGGAAGAGGTGGAGGCGATGATACGGGAGAAGGTCGGAGCAGAGGTCAGAGGGGTGAGGAGGGTGGTGGTGCGCTTTAGCAGCGCCGAGAAGGAGGAGCCGGCGTTTGCGCGGGAGTTTGTCGCGAGGCGAGGGAGTGAGAGTGAGGTGGAGGATGGTGCGCATGAGCATGATCACGATCATCACGACCACGATCATAAGCATGCGAACGGAAGCACGAGCTCATCGAGCGTAGACGGCAACGCCCATAAGCGACGATAAAGACGGTCACGGAACGCGCTGAAGAATTTGGAGTATCGCCTGGTCATGGCCGCCGGGGAAATATGGCTCGTGAAATGCAACTGCCAGCGCCGATGGTGCATCCGAGGCCATTAACATATGTGTGGATGCAGAACGACGAAAGGAAGCAAGACTGTCAATGGCCACTTTACCTTAGGCCTCAGGCGGCGGTAGCATGGCGAGATTCGGTCAGTTCTCGTCGACGAGCAGAGGGCCGTCTGTAAAGGGCCGAATGGAGCAGCCCAAAGGCAGGTTTGAAAACGGAAGGGAAGCAGGATTGGATGACTGACCGGCAGACCAGCTTACGAGAAGCATGTTGCGGACCGATTGTAGATATAAGAGGTATCACATCCGCCTTCGTTCGAGTTCTTTTCTTTCTTCCAGTCTTTGTTTTTCGTGCGGCCTATTCGGCTACCAACGCCTTCACCCTCCGGCAATTCCCCAGTTGCGCTATTTCATCTCGCATGGTCTGCCAGTTCTTTCGCAGTCCACATAAGGGTGTACCGCCGGAGAAGCCTGTACAGACGCCGCAAGCACAGCAGCCTAGCCCTCGACTTTGAAGTATTGCCAGGACCCGAGTCGCTCACTGGAGCGAAGCACCGGTATTTTCGCCGGAGTGCCACACCGAAGCATGCACAGAGAGACATGCATACTCTTCTGCAGCCCTATCACTTAGCCTTGTAGGGCTGCAGTCCAGGCCGTCACAGGCCGAACCATCGCACATGAATGGCTTAAGAAGGCGTGATGGTTTGGATCGGTCGCTGTCGGAGGACTTTGTTGGGAGGCGAAAACCGCACGGCTGCTGCAAGCCGTCATGCGGCGCTAGTGACCACAACCCGTCAGTTGGCGAAAGACGACAAACTTGAAGTTGTCAAGGTTTCGAAGACTTCTGGATTTTACATTCTGATTCCGCGCCGCGCTATCAGTGCTTCTGAGGATGAGACAGTGTTGGGGTCAACCCCCGGCAATCTATGGCCATTGTGGTCTTGCGTTCTGCAGTCTCTACCGCTAATGTCCTGCACACTCGCGTGCCACCAAAGCCATAGGACACATGGCTGGGGACTAGATGCCATGGATCTCATCACCTTAAGCAGGCCGCTGCCATATTCACGGTGAAGACAGTTTACGGTTGATACACAACAGCAGACTGACCGGTCACGTACGCTGCTGTTGCCCGCTGGACTGCCCCAAGACAGAGCATATATGTTAGTGCGATGATGCCTCCTTCTTCTACAAGTTCGTCTGGTGCCAAGAGAGGTACGCCGCTGGCACGTTGCTCGATGCCCACATATTCAAGCTAATGCTTCTAGTTGTCCAGCTTGCGATGCTTGTGAGTTCGCGCATTGTATCTTATGGCTCGGGCAGTCACTGATGGACTTCCCAATCCCCAGGCCATCGTCGGAAAGTCAAATGCATCGAGAAGAATGGGTCTTGCCAGAACTGCTGCTTGAGCGGATTGACGTGCACATACAATAGTGTAGGTATAATCATGCACCGGTGCGGTACTCATGCTAATGACGGCGATAATTAGGTCCCTCAGAAGAAGGGTGAGTGTCTTGGTCCGCTATGATGATTACTCCTAATGCCACAGCAGGTCCAAAAGGCAGTCGGGCAAAAGTCATATCTGAGTTGCGCGAGGCACAACGAAAGTCCCATGTCCCAGCGTCTCGGGATGACAGGGAGGCGTCGGCTGGCTTCGATTCCTTCACAAGAACCTCTGGACTGCTGCCGCCGGAACTGATTGCAACATGCACCGACTTCTTCTTTACGAACATGTACGGGACGATGCCAATCGTCGGTCGCCGAAGTATCGTCGACATGATTAGCGAAATGGACAACAACCTGGAAGCATACTGTCTCATCGCATCGCTCTGCGGGTACATGCTGATACAACCCAACCTTGACCTGAAACCCGAAAGCCTTGGGCCGATGGAACTGCCAGCGCAATCCACCCTCCAGCTTGGACGCATCCTACTCCGTGAGGCCATAAATGCCAGAAAGCATCTGGACTACGTCGAGAGCCCCTCGATCCGGTCAGTCGTAACGTCTTTCTTCCTGTTTGGCAGCTACTTCTGCCTCGATCTGCAGGGGACGGCTTGGTTCCACTTACGAGAAGCGACTACGCTGGCGTTGACGACCGGTATGCACGAGGAGTCGACATACGCACAGCTGGACCGAGAGGGGAGCTCACGGCGACGTCGGCTGTACTGGCTCTTGTTTGTCACCGAGCGGGCATATGCCCTCCAGCAACATCGTCCTCTGTCGCTACACGCAACGATTGATCTGCCCACACTGCAAGCTGATCAGGTGGAGACAGAGCTCAACGGCTTCCTCCATCTCGTGAGCCTGTTTCGACCTTTCGATGATACATTCGTGGGCTTGTGGAACAAAGCACGTACCGGATGCTCGACAGAATGGTTGGCCACCTTGCAAAAGCAGCTGTCTGATGCTCTTCCGACATACATCCAGAGCACAGAATGCCAGGCTGTCGATCTGAAAGTGTCGCAGCAATGGCTTAGAACCATGGTCTGGCAGCTGTCAATCAGTCATGGCTATCTGTCTTCGAGGGCGATTGAGCAGTCGATGAGCTTTCATTTCCCGATTGAGGTTTCGCGGGAGCTCGTATCGGCCACGAGCAAGTTCTCGCACGAAGCGATGGAGACGCATGGCATAGGTCTGGTAAGCACAACATCTTACGATAGTGCAGTGCGGACGAGAACCTCCGGCTAACGAGAAGTGTAGCTCGAAAAGCTCTTCGACATCAGCTGCACCCTAGCCGATGTGATATCCTACGTACCCTACGAGCAGCAATTCTTCGACTCCTACGGACCTCGAGAGTACCTGCACCAACTCATGTCCCTCATCTCAACCCTCCGTGGCGGTCAAGAAAGGTACATGCCGCTCCTACTTTCTAAGATCAACGACACCATGCCCAACGCTCCAGGCTATGCTCTCAATTCGGTCGCAACCAGCTCGCATGAGGAGGAAATGTATGACCGAAGTGAGGCAGCTGGTAGCAGCAGTGGATCCTCAGGATTTGGAAGTCCTCCTCTCAGAGTGCCGGAGCAACAGCGGTCGAATACTTTCAATGGATTCACTGCAGACTATGCGCCAGCCTTGAATGCCAATGTTTCGCAGAGCTTCGCTCAGCCGCTGGCGACTACGAACTTGGATTACCTGGACTTGCCATTGACTACCGCTCCCTTTCAGATGTTCGCGGAGCCATTGGTATTTCCGGAAGTCAGTGGGCATGTCAGCTATGACTCCAGCAGTGATATGTAGCAATATATAAGAGCGAGTGGGCAGGTCGCAGCACTATCCGTGTATATCACATGTTCGCAAACGTTTCGATTTCCATCCTGTGAACTGTGCACGTGACACGTCGGTGAAGTTTCGGTGAAACCTCTGCTCTTGGACTAGCACCAAGATTCGACAACCTCACTTCATCTCACATTGCATTTGCACTTCATTGCCTCAGCCTTCCGGCATTTTCTTCAGCGTGTGCCAAATATCGTTCTGTGCTCTCCTGTACAACTCTAGCAGGGCTCAAAGGCCCAATGCTGGCATTCATGACGATTCTTACAGACCATGGCTCGTGGAGAAGCAGCTGAGTGACATCACTGCGAACTATAATGCATTGCAGCAATCATGCTAATACGTGTTCTCACGCGACCGCCTTCTTCGCAGTAGAGTCTACGTCGAGACCGTGAAGTTGGAGCAGCCTGGACCAGTCCCCTTGCGATCGTGTCCACTCTCCAGGTACCTAACATGAGGAGCCGCAGCGTGAATACATATCCTCCAACTCGTCAAACCGTCTATACCGTCCAAGGCGTGCCATGAATCCCCCGGAAATGATTGTGATCACAGGCAAGATGTTCGGTGTGGATCGACCTGAGAGTTAACTGCGCGACTTCCTCGACATCACTTCATCGGCGCCCACGATCGCTCAATCTACACCGAAAAAGTTCGCGGAGAATGCCACTCGCCACATGTCCACACGTACGAAGTCTTACAATTTTAGGAGAAGCATGCCCATTCTGTAGCACTCAGTGGTGCTGTGTTGAGCTTCCGTTGAGTGAGCACTTCTATTGTCAAGACCGTTAACCAATAGCACGACTCCTTCTCACGACCTCACTACATCCCCAGCCATCTTGTACAGGTTCTGCCTCTGCTTCTCTCCGTCTTTCTTCCACTACAACACATTTATCCATCAGAACACCAACCTCGAGACGACACCATTGCATCGCTCCAAATTTTGCGACCGCTGCACCTGCAGCCATCCTCACCAACACCTCCTTATCCGACCGACCAGACGACAAAGCGCAGGCACACAGGCTGCCAGCTGGCCATCGCACCCATTTCTCAACGACCGCCAACATGGCCTTCACCGATCTCGACATCGCAGCAGCGCCGCTCACTGACATGGTCGTCTTGACCGGACTGGACTATTCGATGCGTCCGTCAAATGTCCGTATGGAGGCCGAGAAGGGATGGATCAAACCGTTCCCGGAGATCAAGGTCATGCACCAAATCAAGTCACTGGCCGTCGTGGTCTACAACCAGGAAAAGCTGGCATCTTACTATCACGGCAACGTCTGCGATGGCCGTAACGCACTCGCATACTTCATCTGCGCCATGCACCGCCAGAGCGCTCCTCAGCCACAGACTCACACCCGCCAAGGCTCTGTCGTCAGCAACAGTTCCCACTCCAGCTCCAACTCGTGCAAGTCCACCGGGCGCACCAAGAATTGCGAACTGCCGAAACTTGTCACGACCTCCATGCTTCCCATCGGGTACTGGGACAGCCTCTACTATGCGCTTGTCGCCGAAATCCGTACGCTGTACAACGACCTCCAGCAGCGCTTCGGCTTCGGCTGCGAGAATGGCACAACTCCTCTTCACTACCTTGGCCAGGATGGCAAGACGAACCAGCCGTTCACCGCTATCGACTTTGCCCTGATGCTCGAGAGTGCGTGGTACACGCTCATGGACAACCGTCTCGTCGCCACACTCGATGACGCAGTACGCATGAGGAGGATGCGTGAGAATTATGCGAAGCAAGAAGTCAACGGCATAAACGTTCTTCAGCTCAACAAAAGATATGCGCCAGACAGACCACCGATTATGTACGGCTTGATGGACGTCAACGACCTGTCGCCAGAAATCATCAACACTTTGCTGTGGGACAAGCATGCGCCCGAGGTGGATGCTGCATGTTGCGAGAACTTCGAAGACGAATCCATGATGACCGCACTCCGCGCCGAGCTACACCAGCAGCAGATGGAGGAGAGTCTTGCTACCGTCACCCCACTGCCGAGCTCAATGACTTGCACATGCCACGCCACCTGCGTCTGCAAGCTGAAGTGCGACGAAAGCGGCAATGGCTGCACCTGTCAAAACCGCGTGCATCTGTACTCCAAGGTCCCTCTGAAGGACAATGAGCAAATCTCCGCCGCGAGATACATCAAGGAAGACGAAACCATTCCGAACCGCTTCATCGGTGCCAATCCCACTGGCGTGGCTCAGTTGCAGATCACGGCAACGGCATATCCCAGCTTGACGGCGAACGGCGAGCTTAACAATACCATCGGAGAGCCACGTACTGAATCAACCCACCCCGAGCCGCGAGAGAACACATTCCGCTTCCCCAGCAGAGCTCGCGCAAACACCGTCGAAAGCGACCTGGCCTATGTACCAGAAGCTCGCCCATCGCAGCGCCGCACGAAGGACACCTGCCCACTAGGCTTCTACGGTCGCCAGTCAGGACAACGCTTCCCCAACCTGCGCCCACAGTCGTCTGTCTCCCCGCTAGACGAATACGGATACTATGGCGTCGAGCAAGGCACCGGCAAGCGCATCGCCCGCAAGCCAGTGCCAATGTCCATCGCCCCGCCACCACCACCTCCTCTGTCCGCTCACACACCCCCGTACTCCCGGCTGGACCTGACACCGCCGAAGAGCAGTCCTTACGACCAGCTCGCCTTCTCTAACCAGGCGTACTACCCGCCCATTCCGCCGTCCCAGAGCGAGGGCTTGTTCGATCAGAGCTTCCAGACAACGTCCGATACGAACGATTTGTACGCGACCACAGACTCCTCTTTTGAGCAGCAGCACCAATCCTACCAGCAGGCTTTCTCACCGTTCGATGATCGACAGCCGGTTACGCAGAGCTTCCCGCAGTCATACAACACGGTCACCTCGTACAATGCCACCGACTACGCCCTCAAGCAAAAGTCCATATCCTTCGACCAAGCCAACGCTGCCGACGCCTACACCTCCCTCCTGTCCCACCACCCATCCACCACTGAAGGTCCCCTAGAGCCCTTCCCCCGCCTCAGCCGAGTCATCACCACAAGCCCAAGCAAGAAAGAGCAAGACCTCCAGCAGCAATCTCAGCAAAAGGGCCGCTCAACCACCCTCACCAACACCCTCCCAACCCTCAAATCCTTCTCCGGCTCCAAGCACATCCCCAAGAAATCCCTCGACAAAGACCTCCCGCCGATGCCGCAACCGGACTTCATCGCTCCCCGCCCAGCGGTGAAGCAACGCTACGTCTCCGCCGGCGGCTTCGCCAAGTTGGCCGACCGTGTGGAGATCGAGGCGCCGACGCGGGAGTCGCTCGGTGCGGCGCCGGTGCCCGTGACGCAGCAGCGGGCCAGCAGCGGCGCGTACTGGTCTAAAGAGGAACTGGACGAGAAGTTGGCGAGGCTGGAGTGGATCCGGCAGAACTGCGGCGGGGCTGCCTTGGGCCATCCGACGACTTCTGGGGTTGCTACGCCGGGGAGACGGAGCGATGAGAATGAGCGCTCTGGGCGAGGGAGTGAGGAGAGGAAGAGAAAGAGCAGTGGGTCTGAGAGGAAGAGGGTTAGCGGGGAGAAGGAGAAGAAGGATCGCACGAGCAGTGGAGCGAGTAAGCGGGAGAGGTTCAAGAGGGTGTTTTCGCGGAAGGGGAGTGGGAGTGAGGGAGATAAGGGGATATTGCTTGAGGATGAGCAGCAGTGAAGAAGCATGGTGGAGAGCTGGTTGTCAAAGAACTAGGTAAGGGAATGGTATGGAGATGGTATGGCTGGGCAAAAGGAGTATGGAGAGTTCTGGCGTTTGAGGGTTTGCTGGTACCAATGGCGTTCGAGGGAATGGGGATGGGATGGGAAGATACCCCAATGTCAGCGCTTATTGCCTGACACTGCCGCCAATTCTGATGCTGATACTTGATGGCGGCGAATGAACTGGCGGATGCTGCTGTGGTGAAGGGCAGCTAGATGGCCTCCTCAGTCTAGCAATCGCATGCCAACGAAACCATTACTTCAACTTCACGCTTGTCTTTCTTCTTCTCCTTCCCGTCCAGTCTCCGAACCAGTCGATGTACACGCTCACTCGTACGAGCGCTTGGACAAAGTCATGGAGGTGACAGTACAGCTGATAGTATACTATGCTACATATCACCGGCGGATTGATCCTTCGATGCCTCTCGTAGCTTTCTGAAGACGCCCACGAATCCGCCCCCGACGATGCGCTCGCCGACTTTAGGGCGACAGACCATCGCCCATTCTTTCTGCCCGCTTCGCTCGGAGGTTGGTTTAGCTTGCGGCTCTCGGACCTCCTTTTCGCCCTCAGCATCAACCCCATCTCCCGTCTCCTCCCCACTAACATCCCCTTCACTTCCACTCCCGCTCTCCTCCATAACCTTCTCACCACCAACGTCCGCCTCCGAGCCCCTCCCAGCCCTCGGCTTCACAAACCGACAATCCCACTCCCTCCCCCCACTCCCCCCACCCGCCCCCAACTCCACCACCTTCTCCAACTCCAGCGCCAAACCCTCCTGCTTCACCCGCTCAAGACAGTCCAATATCTGCGTCACGCTCGGGTTAAACACCACCACCGTCCCATCATCCCTCACTCCCTTCACAACATCCGCGAGCTGTGCGTCCGCGTTCGGCAAATCCAGTATTACGTGCGAGAGGAAAGATTTCCCCCCGCGTTCTGGCGATGCTAGAGCGGCGCGGATCCAGGGGGAGGGGGAGGAGACGTGGAAGTCGATGGTGGGGGTGTAGAGGCCGTGTCGGAAGGTGGTAATGGTGGCTTGGGCGTGGGCGGAGTAGCGGGCGGAGATGTCGAGGGTGTGGAGGATGGCGGGGCGGGTGCCCTTCCAGGTTGCGAGTGCTGTGGGGTCGGAGGGGGGTGGGGGAAGGTGGGCGTTGGCGGCGTGGAGGGCGCGGGCGAGGTAGAGGGTTAGGGCGCCGTGGCCGGTGCCCGCTTCTAGGATCTCGAGTTTGGGGGGGACATGCTCTGACTCTGAGTCTTCGGAAGGTTGGAGGTGTTGTTGGTGTAGGGCGCCGGGATGTAGGTCGAGTAACTCGACAATCAGAGCGGCGTCGGCGGGGTAGATAGGCGTAACCAGGCGTCTACTGAGTCTTACATATTCCTCCAGCTTGACCTCATGGATCCTGTAATTCGTGCCTCGCGGTTCTTTGCCATCTTGACTCCGCCGTCGTGAAAGTTGCGAACTGACGAGCTCGCGCGGGTACTTGCCAATGATATCGTCGTGAAGGATGAGGCCGCGGTGCGTTTCGATGCGTCGGCCAGGTTTCAGTGGACGGGTGAAGATGGGGGAGGTGTTGCGGGGTGGGACTTCGCGGAGGAGGACATGGTCGCCGGGGATGAAGGGGCGGGAGGAGGAGATGTGGCGTCTGAAAGCGTGGAGATGGCGGAGGGGACGCCAGAGGGGGTGGTTCATCGAGGGATTGAGTTGCATGTGAAAGTTCCAAGGCTCCTTCTTGATGCAGACTAGTGTGAAGCAGCTAGCGGGAGGCGTTGGAGATCCGGGGTAGCTCAACAACCTTGATTGATGCCACAAGGAAGCATCTCCAGATCCGAGAATTGAGTACACCAGCACGGGAGTCTGTTTGCGGCGGTCGAGGAGTAGTCATATGCCAAAGGCTGGCGCGTAGAAGCCACTCCATCGACACAAGATGACCCGACGAATAGTAAGTAGCTTCACCCACCAGCACCCACTACCATACTGAATGGTATATAGACCCGCACACTCGGCCAGCTCGCCGCATTCCTAGTGCTCATCTTCTTCCTCCTCTTCATCGCCGACTCCCGGTATCGAGTGCTGCCCAACAGCCTGCACTCGCACTTCCCCTCGCACCACGCCGGCACCGTCATCACCGACATCTCCATCGCATTCTGCTCCTCCGCCAACCCTTTCTCGTCATGCCGTTTGGACGCCGATGAGTGGCATCGCGTGGAGAAGGACTTGTACCTGCACAATGGCTGGCTCTCGAGCGCCTGGCTGCACGTCAAGCGCAAGAAGGAGGGCGAGTTGAAGGCGGAAGACCAGGTGGTGGTCGACATACGAATTGCGAGATTAGACCCGGGCACATCTGAGAAGGAACAGGAGAAGGAGAGGTGGGAGAGCAGACCCGGCGGCGTCTGGATCTTGCGCAGCAGCAAGCGACACGACAGCGAGTCGGAGCGCGTAGTCACAGCAGTCGACGTCCTCTTCGGCGCCGACGCCGTCGACCCTCGCACCGGCTGGCAGCTCTCCTCCACCCCTCTCCTCGTCGACAGCGGTGACCTCCCCGCCCGCCTCTCCGTCCGCCACGGCCAGCCGCACCTCCCCAAAGAAGTCGTCCCCCGCGTCCGCAAGGACGGCCGCTTCAAGATCCTCCAAGTCTCCGACGCCCACCTCTCCACCGGCACAGGAATCTGCCGCGACGCCATCGGCCCCGACAACAAACCCAGCCCCAACTGCGAAGCCGACGTCCGCACCCTCGACTTCCTCGAAACACTCCTGGACGACGAGAAACCCGACCTCGTCATCCTCTCCGGCGACCAAGTCGAAGGCCCCTCCGCCCCGGACACCCAGTCCGCGCTGTTCAAACTCGTCGCCCCGCTGATCGAGCGCAACATCCCCTACGCCAGCATCTTCGGCAACCACGACGACGAAGGCGCGCGCTCCCTCTCACGAACCCAACAAATGGCCCTCCTGCAAACCCTCCCCGGCAACCTCGCCCACCCCGGCCCCGCCGAAGTCGACGGCGTAGGGAACTACTACCTCGAGATCCAAGCCGAGAAATCCCAACATTCCGCCCTCACCATCTACCTGCTCGACTCGCACTCCCTGACCCCAGACGAGAAGAACTACCGCGGCTACGACTGGATCAAACCCTCGCAAATCTCGTGGTTCAAAACCACTGCTGAAGGATTAAAGAAAGAACACGCCAAGTACTCGCACATCCACATGGACATGGCCTTTATCCACATTCCCTTGCCCGAATTCGCCGACCGCGAGAACAATAAAGTCGTCGGCGGGGAATGGCGGGAGAGCGTCACCGCTCCGGCGTATAACTCGCACTTCTACGACGCGCTAGCGGACCACCGCATCGTCGCCGTCGGCGCGGGACACGATCACGTGAACGATTATTGCGCGATTAACCCTCATCCTTCCCCCGCTCAATCGAACGCGGAGCATAGCGAACACCATCACACGTCGGGTTTGGGGCCCTGGATGTGCTATGCCGGCGGCTCGGGCTTCGGGGGCTACGCGGGTTACGGGGGTTTTCATCGACGGATGCGGGTTTGGGAGGTCGATGCGCAGGCGGGGCGGTTGAGTACGTGGACGCGGGTGGAATGTTGTAGTGCGGAGGAGAGGGGGGAGAGGAAGGGGGAGGTGGTGCTTGTGGAGGGGGGTGGAATTGTTGCGCCGAGCTGAAAAGATGATATGAGGGGCGTGGGATGACTGTGTAAGGGTGAGACGAGTGAGGTGTATGATTTGGAAAAGGAAGCGATGGGGCGTTGACGGAGTCATTTGATGTGGCTTGAGGTATGGTATCTCTGGACTCGGCTGGGATGCAGATAGCTATGGGAGTGTGTATGTCGTTACGACGTCTCTGCTCCATTCGAGAACTGCCTGTTCATGCTTCATTGCTACAAGCGGTCGTTTGCCAGTCTCAACGCCCGCGTAACGCATCGTGGCAATGCGCCCGGAGGCGCGGCGCAGCATTCCGTCGTCTCCAGTCTGCTTCAATAATTAAGCACCATCTTCCCGACGGCGACGCCTCCCCAACCCATCCGAGCGCGGAGAAGCCCTCTCATCAGCCACGTCACACCACATGAACCCCTCACGCCGCTCCTTTCCCTAGAGACTGCCTTGCCCTGCCTCCATAATCACGAACAGAGTCCGACCCCCAATCACGGAGCGGAGCTCACCACACCTCACTCGGATCGACTTTAATCATCTCCCCGTTTGGCCGCACAGTCTTGCGCTTCTTGTCCCGCTTCAATGGTTTCCGCATGTCGTAGGCGTCGCTGCCGTCGTTGTAGTAGTCTGTTATGCGTCTGTACACCGAATACCTTTGCCACCCAGCAGCGTTAGCCTCCACACCCTCCCACACCAAATCGTAAAACAGAATAGAAGAAGGGAGAAAAGGTGAATGCGTACCCCATCTTCCTATAAAGCTGTATAGCAGCCTCATTCTCCACCCTCACAAACAAATCCACAAACCACGCGTCCGCCTCATCCCCCACCCGTTCCAGCGCCTCGCTCAGCCGCGTGGCGTGGCCCAGTCGACGCGCGGAAGGGGCGACGGTGAGACAGGTGATGTGGGCGTGCCAGGGGAGGTAGTTGGGCCATTTTTTGCGGTAGATTGTGAGGGAGGGGTCGTAGGGGGAGACGGGGGCGGGGTAGGGGGATGCTTCGAGTTTGCCTAGGACTATATTGCCGAGAAATCCCAAGGTTAGTGATGTCAATGTGAAGATGAGGGGATTAGAATTACTGTAAGCTTCAATCTGGCCGTTGGGAGACTCGAGGACTTTGCAGAGGTGCGGCCATTTGGTGAAGTATTCGAGGTAGAAGGCGATGCCGTAGGTTTCGGTCAGGTGGTCGAGGTTGCAGGGGTTGAAGTGCAGGAGGTCGAGGGGGGTCATGGGGCGGAGGGTGGGTTCTGCACCCATCTTGGGTCTTACTGTGAGAGGAATAGAGAAGGGTGGATTGGGAAGAGGATGTTGATGTGTATGATATTGGATGAAGTCGAGCGTCACGTGGTTTTAATTGCCTCAGGTTAGAGAGCTCGATTCGAGCCAATCAAGCTGCTCGCTGCTCGCATCTGGAGAAGAGCTGCGAATCGCTCCCTCGACTTCGATCTCTCGATCACAGATTAACGTCCTGCCTGCTCCATGAACATGTCGTACTTCCAAACCACAGGACCGCAGGCGTGAAGTCGCACGACGCTTCGGTGGGACGACCAGCCCATCTGCATGGCGCTCTAATTCCGCATGGCAAACACGTGGACAGCTGCAGGCAAAAGGCTTCGTTATTCGCCCGGGCATTGCCCGACCCTGGCCGTGGCTGCAGCTGCGCACGCTGCGACAAGGATTCCGTTTCATCGTTGATCCCAGAAGAAGCGCATGTGGTGTGCAAATTCGAGAAGGGCTAGACGCTGCTGCAGCTTCGGTAAAGAGAGGAATCCTGCTGGTTCGCATATGCCGTGTCGTCTGATAAAATGCATGCCATGTCCCGTCCCTCTCCTCTCCTGTCAGCTTTGATTCACAAACTACATCATCGACCGCAGCGATCACCGCCGAGCGAGCGTTGTGACGGGCGAGGTTTCGTATAGGGAATAAGAGCCGGTGGGATCAGCAGCGAAGCCGCGTCCGGTAGTCAGCCCGACTGACTCGAGGTCAGACACTGTTATAATAATCAGCCGTCTGTGTCACCCTCCTCGATCATCAGCAAACTCTCCCATCCGCCTAGCAATTCAAGAAAGACATCGCAACGACCGGGCTCACGGATTCGAAAGTACGCTGGTGTTTGCAGCAAAAGACGTTGTGCGACGCCGGACAAAGAAGGAGAGAGCTTTTTGTGCTCCCCGACACGCACCTGAAACCGGGAAGAGAGCGAACTGTCTCACTTGGCTCTGATCTGATCCGCGTATCAAAGGGAGTCTTCTTCCATCTCTGCTATACCAACAAAACCACCTGCGTGCATCCGCTCGGGAGTGAGAGTGAAAGAGAAACAACCTCCGTTCCTGCTGTTTCCTCCGCGTGAGCAGCACGTGGCAGCGACAAAGTTTCCACACCCCCGTTTCCCACGAGGCAGTGGGCCGAACACCAGCATAATCCTACAAAAACCACTCACACTCCCGCAACAATGGTACGTCAAACAATCCCTCCAGCCTCGCTCCCAACTAACATCCATCTGCCAGGCCTCCCGCACCGACGCCCGCTTCAGCACCTACTCCGGCGCCCCTTCCCTCCAACCCTCCCTCGCACCCACCTACGACTCCGCCCCCAGCGCCCACTACAGCCAAACCACCTCCACCTACCTCTCTCCCAACAACGCTTTATCAGAAAAACGCCCCTACGACAACCCCGACCCTGCCGCCGCCACTTCCACCTCCACCCTCAACTCCAACGCCGACCCCAAAGCCGCGGACATAAAGTCCTGGTCCGGCGCTCTGGAACGCATGCAGGACGAGCGCCTCGACAAGCAGCGCTACACGATGAGCAGCAACAAGAGCGACGAGGTGAGCAAGCTGGCGCTCGGGGCGAAAGTGGAGCGCGCGCTGGCGAGGCGGATGGTGGGGCAGGATGCGGTGTTTTCGCCGGGGAGGGGGAAGAAGGGGGGGTTTGAGGGGGAGAAGGCACGGAAGCCGGTCGAGGCGAATTAGGTGTTTGTCTCTGCGTGACTGGGGAGGAGAGTTTGGACGTGGATGGGGGTGGTGGGGGGGAAGGCGCGGGGGACATCTCAACCCATTGCCCGTGATACGAGGATGAGTGGCTCGCAAGGAGTTGGTGGGAGTATTCTAGAGGTTGACACGGAAATGTCATGTCATGGCGCGGTGAAGGCGAAGTTTTGCTTCGGTTTTCGTCCTGGGTAATGAAAGCAGAACTGTGAGATTACTTTTTGCATCATGCTATACCCCTTTCACGTATTGCGATAGAGTTCTACCCTGCTGTCCCTTGTGCTATAGATTTCCATTCATCTAGAGATGCCACTGTCACAAGCTGATCGAACGCTAGCGTGGTGGATTTTCTGGCCAATAGGATGGAGCGGGTGGTGAAGTGAAGTGCTTATTGGCTTCGTCTGGCGGGCGACCGCACTCATCTGAAAGCGAGAGAGAGAGGCGAGAGGCCTTTTTCCCGCCTTGCGACGAGCTATAGCCGCTGCCCGCCGGATCTTGCTCGACCAGCAGACCGTCCAGGTACTCGTCTGGCTTGCCCTGAGTCAGGTTCCGGCTTTCTACTCAAAACTTCATGTTCGCCGTGGGAGAGGGAAGGGCACAGTCAAGCGTAAGACGCCCGCAGACTTGATCAAGACCAAATCTCAGTTTTACTTATTTACTGGCAGAATCAACAACAACACCCCGTCACCACCTCACAGCACCCTTCGGCCCCCGCTGTCGCTGCTACTGCTTGCTCCTCCTCACGACTCCTGGCCGAAGGCATAGCCGGCGGTCTAGCTGGGGGCCACGGTGGCGGTGGAACCCGATGCTCCCGACACCGTTCCCGAGAGACCTGGATCGGCAGCGTGTTGCGGCAGGCCATCCGTCGGTTTTGGAGTTGTGAGCGCTGGGCTGCTGCGGGACATTGGGTGAGTAGGGTGCTGGGGGAGAGGCAGCCGCAGGGGTGGAGGAGGGGTGGGCCGTGAGTGCACATCTTTGGAGTGCGGGTTGGTGGTGGGGTTGGAGAGCAGTAGGGGAGACATATGAGGTGCTTCGCGGTGTTTGCTGAGCGAGCGCAGGTCAGTTCTTGACGTGAGTTGGTTGTCCGATAGTAAGTGGATTGGCTCTAGCTGACACTACTGACACAGGCGGTATCCAAGCAAGCTGCGCACGGGAGTGTGGAATAATCTCGCAGACATGATCAAAAACTTGGTTACAGTACTTCGACCTCTACGTGAGGTACCTGAGACTACATACTAAACCCGAGACCACATACCAAACTCCATACCATCAGGCTTCAGCAACAACAACAGCCCCCCACCCCTCGCGGCCCAAGGATACCGTCACCATTCCGCTTTCTACAGCCTCGAAGGCCCCCGCCGGTGCCTTGGACAGTTCATACTCGAGCGTGTGACGGGCGGCGAATTGCACGGGACCATCCGCTGAGCGCCTGCAGGACAGAACATGTTGAGCTGTCCGGGAGTGAAACAGCCGCAGGCCCATTGGATTGCATATGTCCAGATGCACATTTCTACTGTTCGATGGGTTGTTTTTGGAGTTGAGTAAGTGTAGTTGAGTAAGCAGTTGGTTGATTTGGTGGAGCTGGTTGAGTATTGTGAAGGGAAACGGTTGTGAGGTGGGAAGGCGGAAGGGGATATATGGGGTGCTTTGCGGTGTTTGCTACTGAATCGAGAAGAGCAGTCACTGATGTATGCTGGTGTGCACAGTGCGAGCTCCCGGGCATGATCAAGACCTCTCTACACGAGATATTCCAAACTACATACAAGCTAACAACAGGGACAGCCCATCACGGCCTGGCATCCGGAGAACATCAGCGTCCACTATCTCGCCTCCTGGAGCTTCGTAGCTAACCCCCTCCTAAAGCCTCGAAGGTCCCTGGTGATGCCTCGGACATCTCTGACTCGAGCGTATCACGGGCGGGTGGCTACAGGGGACCAAAGTTTGAGCCCCTAAGGGGCAGTACTGGCTGAGACGTCCGTGTGTCCAGCAGCCGTAGGCCCAGAGGACGGTGGGTGTGCAGAGGCACATTTTGGACGGGGTTGTTGTTTGGTATGGTTTGAAGGGGTGGTTGGTTTGTTGGTAGGTTTGGCAGAGTTTTTATGGTATGGTACGAGGGGATGATTGGGAGGGCTAGCAGGATATACAAGGTAATTCACAGTGTTTGCTAAGCGAATCGACTTTGGCTGACACACGCAATCCTACTTTCTAGGTATCACTCGCGAGAAGCACGCAAGCGCATAGCACCCAGCCGTGATCAAAACCAGTTACAGCCTCTACATGAGGTAAGGAAACCTATATGCTAACAACAATGGCAACTCACGCGCCACACCTCATCGAAGGTCCTTAGCGATGCCTCGGACACTTCTCGCTCGAATGTATTACGGACGAGGAGCATTGTCTTCCCCTTTGCGCCGCTAAGGGACAGAGGCCGAGGAGCCGTCCGGGAGTGAAACACCCGCAGGCCCAGTAGATTGCCCTTGAATAGGCACACATGATGGGCAGGTTCGTTGTTGAAGGTGGTTTGAGGAGTGGTGGTTGGTCTGGTGGTGGGTCTGGTGGAGTTGGATTGGTTCGGTGTGGAAATGGGAATGGAAATGGGAATGGAAATGAGAATAAGGTAGGGGAGGGCTAGGAGGATATATAAGGTATTTACGGTGTTTGCTAAGGGCTCGAAGAAGGCCAGTCATTGAAAGTGAGGTGAGTCGCCGCCGCAGTCGTCAATGAATGATGGCTGGCTAACACTGACACAAGTGGTCCTACTGCTCAAGCAACCCGGAGCGAGAGCGCACGAGCGTGGCCAAATCATATCGCACACCTCTACATGAGGTATACTGAATGCTAGTTACTACATCCCATCTGCCAACAACAGCAGCCAGCCCCGTCACCTACGCTAGCTCCTGAGTCCTCCCAGCGTCCTCGAGAACATCATTGAAAGCCATCGCACCCTCACAGCTACCGATGCCTCGGACAGCGCTCGGACGTCCGGAGGTACCGGGGGGTACACGTCCTTCCTGTTTGAGACGCCCGGGGACACCAGTGGAAGAAGCCGCCGCGAGTCTGGCAGCCGCAGGCATAGATGATGGTGGGTCCCTGCAGACACATGTTGGTCGAGCGGGTTGTTCGGTTGCGTTCGAGAAGGGTGTGTTTTTGGTGGGTTTCGTTTAGAATTGGGTGTGTTGGTGGGTTTCATATGGTGCGGGAATGGGAAAGAAGTTTGAAACGGGTAAGGGGTATGGGGGGTTTATATGGCCCGCTTTCTGCGGCGTTTGCTAATGGAGCCTGGGAGGCCATTCATTGTGAGTCGGGTACTTGGTCGTCAGAAGATTCGACTTTGGCTAACCTAGCCGCACAGGCAATCCTGCTATTCAAAGCAACTACCTTACTCGCGAGAAACGGCACAAGCGACAAGCGTAAAACGAGAAGTCCCTCGGCGTGTGGTAACAACCAGTTACAACCTCTACCTGAGGCATCTACCTAAGCTAAATTATCCATTACTAAATCCCAATCTCCAACAACGCCAGCTAGCCCAACCACCCACGCCTCCTCCTCCAGCGGCCCCTTAAAGACATCATTAACGCCATCCCAGGCCTCCCCCATCCTCCGACATCCCCCTCAGAACATCGTCGACAACATCCTCCGCCCCGAATCTATCGATGGTTCCAACAGCGGTCGGGCGAGTACTGGTACTTAGGGGTGCATACGCTCCCTGTTTGAGTCGCCCGGGCACACCATTGCCGAATGTGGCCACGGATTGCGCAGCCGCAGGCGTAGATGAGCGTATATTCCTGGCCACACATCCTCGTTGGGAGGGTTGGTTTGTTGGTTGGTGGTTTCGGATGAGTGTGCGGCGCGTTTCGATAGAGTTGTGAGGAGTGGTTGGCAAGTTGGTAGAGTTGATCGAGTGGTGAAGGTGGTGTGGTGTAGGAGCGAGAGATGCGTCTGGTGGAGTTGATCGAGTGGTGGGTTTGGTGAGGTATAGGAGCGAGAAAGCTTCAGCGGAGGATAGGGGTTTGATATATGGCCGCGCTTTCGACGGTGTTTGCTGGCAGAGCCTGAGAGTCATTCGTTAATGTGAGCTGGATGCCCGTTTCTCATTGAATGGGCTTCAGCTAACACGGACAGGATTGCGATCTCATTGAATGGGTTTTGACCAACACAACACAGATAGGCAATCCTGCTGTTCAATGTCCCTTTCTCATTGAATGGGCTTTGGCTAACACAGACAGGCAACCCTGCTGTTCAAGCAGCCGGGAGCGGGTGACTGGTGAGACGGTGACATACGCAAGAAACACAAGCAAGCTGCCAGGCAGGCGTGGTTCAACCCTGAGGTGTTATGAGATACTGCCTCTACATGAGGTCTCCAAGCTACATACTAAACTACACACCATTACCTACAGCAACAGACCATGCCTACGCTTCCTGCAACCCAAGAACTTAGAAGATCAACATGACGTTATCAACAGCAACATCAACGCTTCAACCCTTAGAGCCTCGACGGTCCAGGCCGACAATTCGGACATCTTTGAATCGAGCGAACGTAGTGCGGGCCACCGCAGGGCCACCCCCGTTGCCTCGCTGCGAGACACCATTGCAAGATGTATCCGTTGGTTTGACAGCCGCAGGCCCAGAAGATCATGTTTGCCCACTGACACATTTTGGATGAGAAATTCCGAACTGGCTCGTTGCTTGAGATTGTTGGGGTTTTCTTGGAGTTGAGGGAGTGGGTGGCTGGTTGTGGTATCGGTGGAGTTGACAGAGTGGTTGATAGGTAGGTTTGGTGTGGTATGGAAATGGGTAAGTGATGGGGGAGGCCGGAGGGTCCACATATATGCGTGCTATGTGGTGAATTGCTGAGGGTCATTCCCTGATGTACGTTAGCTCTAGCAGTAAAGGAATGGTGCCTGGAAAGCGCAGGCGGTCCTGTGGTTCAAGCAACCACGAGCAAGAGCGCATGACGTGAAGCAAGCTCCAGGCATGATCAAAAT